CCACTGCATCGAGTTTATGTGCAGTGTGTGGAGAAGATCAGCAGTCCTGCAGAGTCCTCCGCTCGGATGAAGTCGGCTGGCCTGAAAAGTGAAACAGAAGGCTTTCTGTTTGCTGCTCAGGGCCAGTCACTTCCCACTCGAAACCGTCAACGTGTGATTTTGCATCAAAATGTAAATTTGAAATGTAGATTATGTAAATCTTAAACGACATGATGGTGTAGCTCGATCATTTTATTACCGTCTTCGCCATGCTTGTGGTTATGAAACAGAGGTCCACCCATGGTACGACCCGGAATATGTAGAGGGCGTCATGGAAAATGATAAATACAAAATTCTTATGAATAGGCCCATTTACAGCCTCAGATGTATCCAGGCCAACAAACCTGATCTTGTCCTCTTTGATAAATCCAATGAAATCATTTATATCATTCAATTTTCTGTTCCCTTTGACACTAATGTGATTGTCAAGATGGGCGAAAAACATGGCAAATATGCGGACCTCGCTTTCGAAATGTCACGCTTGCATCCCAAGTACCAAGTTGTCCGACTCCCCATTGTTCTCGGTGCCTTGGAATTGGTACCTCCCAATGTGTTGACTGACATTGGGAGAGTACCTGGGTTTGCTACCAGGAATACAGCCCTTCTGACATTCTGGGTAATGCAGAAGGCTGCAGTGTTGGGGAGTCTTCACATTCCCCGAAACGTTCTGGGTGGGTTTGACTAGGCAGCGCTTCCTGGGAGAAGTCCCATTCGCTGTCTGGGCTGCGTGTAGAGGGGGCAAGGGCCCTGAGCTGATGATGAGCCTAACTAGCCTGACTGTGCCGGGATCACCCAAACCCTCTTTGCTGCATTTTTTATTTCAATTTGTAATTTATTATTATTATTATTATTATTATTATTATTATTATTATTATTAAAGTATTATATTATATTATAAAGTTATTAAATGAATGCTATTCAATGATAATAAGAATAGTAAGGCTGTACGCCAATTGCCGATGCTATGTGTACGTGAAGGAATTTAATTTCGTTTGTCTGCCATTTCGTTTCCGGTTCACCAATGATATGCACCCGATTCTTTTCTTTTTTTTAATGTAACCACGTGTTGTCCGTGTGTTGACATTGTGCCGAGCTACGTATGCCTTGCCTTGCATTTGTCTCTGGCGATGAAATAACAAACTGCCAGTAAATTGTCTTGAAAGACTCCCGGGGACTTCTTCGTGTTTCCATGGTCCCGCGAACAGGACGTGTAAGTATTTTGCCTAATTATGAACTTTGACGGCAATGAAAATGACACACCAGGTGAAACACGTCGCGCTCGCCTGCATATTTGTCATATCATGTACAGTCAGTTTGCCTCCAAATGAGAACGATGAATTGCAAAATAACTCGAAATCCAGAAAAGTGTATGAAACATCAATACGGTACTTGACCATGAATACCCTACACCCAACAAAATCTGAATTTTGTTTATTTTAAGACCCATGACGGATGAAGTTCTTTAAGAAACTATCTTGTAATTTTGTATAGAAATGTGTACATGACACGTAGGGGGATAAACCGTGGAAGGAACAGCACAAGCACGGTCTGCACGTGCTCCACAGTGACAGTGTTCATTCAATGACAAGATGCGCTACTCAGCAGATGTTAAACAGTTGATGATGAATGTGTATGATTTCTTTAGAAGTGAAGCAGAAAGAGCAAAGCCTTTTTATGCAATTGATAAATTCTTGAAACGAGCTTCAAAAGCTCTTGGTATGTCCCCTCAGAAACTAAAAAAATGTTGTTAGTCGACGAGATACAAATAGTCAGGCCAAGGAGGTAGGGAACATGACAAAACCATGCAAGGTTGATAAATTAGACAGTTTTCAAAGGGATCAAGTCAGACGTGCAATTGTTAAACTGCACTCAGAAAATAAGTACCTGTCCCTAAGAATTTGGAAGAAACACCTTGAAACTGACCACCTGTTTGTTGCCGCGATATCTCAAGAACTAAACGCTGGATTGTCTTCATATTTGGAACTATGGTGTATATACAGACTCCGCAGACACCAGTCGGTTTTGGTGACCTTGACCCCATTTTCAAGGTCACAGCAGGCAAATCTGCTTTTGGAGTTGGAAAACGGTGTTGCCGCAATATCTCAAGAACTAATCGCTGGATTGTCTTCATATTTGGTACTATGGTATATATACAGGCGGGGGACATTTCGTCACTTTGTGCCAAATACTTGTTTTAATAATAATGATGTCCGGTATTGAGTGATGTCACTTTGAGTATTGTTAGTTTTGTTGAGCGATCTTTCACATTTTGTACCTTGTCCTGTGAACCAACCACTGATTTAGTACTAACTACTAAATGGCTTTATCACGTGTATCCAAACCATAGGCTAATAGTCAACCATTCGTGCACCGTCTCTCTTCAAGTACAGACAAATGTAATTGCTTTCTCTTTGTTCACAATTGCGTTCGTTTTGCCTATTTTTGCTTCAAATACCATCCATTTCAGTGTTCATTGTTTTTCGAATTTATTTCGCACCACTCTCGAAGTTCACCCTTGGGACATTCGCCACTTGTTGACTACCGCCTCCATCAACTTGACTTACCGTGATGCCTCCCCAGAGAAGAGCAGCCATCAACCACAAACTACCGAGGGGAGCCAAGCAGACAAAGACACCCGGGAGACAAACCCAGGGAGTACTGCACCTATGTCGAACATCTGTCTGCAGAGCCACATAGTGTAAATGCAGACAGAGTAGCCTGTGTTAACAGGGGTACATGCAAAGGCCATGCGCCATATCCAGATTGCCTTTTGGCATTGAAGCTGTGAAAGGAGACAACAACAAGCAAAGTAAATGATTAAGATTTTATTCATTGACTGACTTTCATCACAGTGACAGCTGATTGTAGCATTGCAAATATTCAAAAGACATAGCTTTACAGCAACTGGGACTTATTTCAACTAAGAGTAATGCAACGTCAGTCATAAGCAAGTCATTAACTACAGGACCTGTGAAGATCCGGGGTAGAATAGGCCTTCAGCAACCCATGCTTGCTGTAAAAGGTGACTATGCTTGTCGTAAAAGGCGACTAACGGGATCGGGTGGTCAGGCTCGCCGACTTGGTTGATGCATGTCATCGATCCCAATTGCGTGGATCGATGCTCATGATATCAATCAATGGATTGTCTGGTCCAGACTCAATTGTTAACAGACCGTCGTCATATAGCTGGAATATTGCTGTGTGCGGCGTAAAACAACAAACAAAAAATTGAATTGTTTGAAGCGCATGTAAAATACCATAGATAACTCGACAACCTGTCAAATATGAATTTTAAGCCGTGTGGTTACATCAAGACACTGTATGTGCTGAAGCAATCAGGATATGTATGGAAAAAGTGAAAGTGCATCATATGTACATGAGGAGAAACGCATTGCAATGCGTTATACTTTTTAAAACTTAAATGTTTCTACAATATCCCTAAAAAAATACACATGTTGTTGAAAGGATGCAAATACATGTTGATTGCAAACACCTATATTACTATTATAGGGAACAGAAAACAAAACAAAAATATTAGAATATTGTTGTATCGCTGTGGCTCTATATTTGCTTACCATCTGTCAGTGCCCTAGCAGTAGTTGTGATCTGAATATTGATAAAAGGATATAAACTAAAATAACACCAAACATTTTAAAAGATATTTCCCCGATATTTTTTCAGGTGTTTCCAGTGTGTGTTGGCCACATACAATTTGAACGTCTACTTGCTGTGAAAGGCAACTGTGAAAGTAAGAGGCAACTAACAGGATCAGGTGGTCAGGCTCGTTGACTTCGTTGATGCATGTCATCGTATCCCAATTGCGTAGATGGATGCTCATGATAACTATAACTGGATTGTCTGGTCCAGACCCCATTGTTTACTCCTGCTGTCAGAAAGTTGGAATGGGATCTGGTGGTCAGACTCGCTGACTTGGTTGATGCAAATCATCGTATCCCAATTGCGTGGATCGATGCTCATGATGACAATCATTGAATTGTCTGGCCCAGACTCGATTATTTACAGACCGCCGTCATATAGCTGGAATATTGCTGAGTGCGGCATTAAACAACAAAATAAATTAATGATCAATTTGTTGAATTAAAAATGAAGATGTTATCAAATCTTTAGCAATGTATTCAGGCAAAGGTGAGTATATTATTATATTATGCTATGTTCAAGATCAAGTTGATTTTCATGTATCTGTTACAACTGAACTGTACGTCGGGCTATATGGCCTTGCATACTGAATAAACTGTCTAAACGCCATCATTTTCTTATCAGCTGCATCCCGTTGGTATCTACTCGGAAACTACAAGGGCTATATTTTTGCGACTACTTCATGGATTCCTTTCCAATTGTGGGTACAGTTTCTCTACTAGCAGTGTGGATTTTCTGAGAAAATATTGCTTTTTTTTAATTTTGAGGACAGTCTGCAAATAATTGAGACCGGACCAGACAATCCATGAAAATCAAGCGAGTCTGGGTTGCTGAAGACCTATTCTATTTTCACGGGTCGGTGTTCATGCATGGCATCATGTGAATCACTTGATTGTCTGGTGCAGACTGCAATATTCGACACTGAAAGACCGCAAAAGCAATTTCAAGCTAGCAATCACATGGTAGCTAAAGTTTCTCAATTTTGATATGACAGCAGTATATTCTGAGAGCTTTATATGCGTTGAAAGTTGAGATATACTAAAATTAGGCAGAACATTTGCCATGATTTTCAATTTTCAAAAGTCACTGATTGCTAGCTGGAAATTGCTTTTGCGGGCTTTCATCACACATCTAGAATGTCAAATTCGGGAATAATCGTGTGATTGACATGAGCATTGGGATATGATGACGATGACGTGCATCACCCGATCCCTTTAGTCGCCTCTTACGACAAGCATGGGCTGCTGAAGACCGATTCTTACCAGGGTCCCAGCGTATGGTGGTATTATGGATAACAAAAAGACTGGCGTTTGGCACATTTATTTCTCCTCAAATACACAATTCGGATACGATGACCCATGGGTTTCTGAAGACCTATTCTAACTGCACATGAAATGAATTTGTGATGCTGAGCCTTTTCCCAAACACTGTTGTCCACAGCAACCACCATGCAGGTCTCTTTCGTTGGTAATGCACCAAGCACAACATGACATATTATCCAACTGGTCCATGTACCCATCTCACTATAATGAGAAGGAATAATTATTGTTTCAGATATCTGACACTGTTAATTCCTAAGAATATTCAATGGGAAATCTAGACACATGGAATGTTGTCTTTGTTTCCAATCAAACTGATAATATTAAAGCCGCAAATACCATCTTTCACAAGCACTCCGTAGATCTATGCTCGTGATGTCAAACACGTCCATACCGCCAGACAGGCGTAATTTGTTTCAGGTGACAGGATAATCATTCTGCAAACGTACACCTGCTGAACACGTTAAACCAAGTCGATCAGAGGTTTATGGCGTGCCCAAGGGACGCAACTCTGCACACCCAGACTTTCATGGCAAAACAAAATCCGAAACATTGGGAATACATCAAAGTAATGTAGTGAACCAAACCTGCTCCCATGTCCAGGAACAGGACCATCCTGGACTGCTTACTACGGAGGGACCAACGCCATCAACTGAAATTGAGAAACCAAGATGTTCTACCCTTTTCTTAAAGAATGACACTTTGAAGGTCAAATCCACATGCTCAAGTGTAAGCCTGAATGTATGACCATGCCTCCTGCCTAAACCTGTGTAGTTTGATGGAATCGCAAACGCATGTTGAAGACTTAGTTCTCAAGATGATAGTTTCCTCAGCTAGGAAGACCGATGACAGGCCATGTGGACAAATAATACAGAGTCAAATTGTGCAACACATAAAACATTACAATCTGATATCACATATTGACACGCATAAAGAACGTGAGTGAGTTGGGTTTAACTCCACTTAATCCTGTCATATCACAACGTGGGAGGAAAGCCCAAAGTGATGCAGGTCTCAAACAGAGCACAGTATGGTGCTGACGGACCTGGAAACAACCGGGACGAAACAGTTTAAACCTGTATTGGTTTGAAAATACTCACTCTGTTCAATCTGTTCGTCACAGAGGTTCTGACAGACATTTTCTGACACCTTGGTGGTACAACAGATTCAGTCAGATCAACTCGCGCAACCGACTAAAGTTTGACAAGAAATCACAACCAAGCAGAACATTCTGAATCACATGGAAAGTAAAATCATAGACACTCCTAAATACGGACCTACGTATTAACTGTACCTACATCGCCTCATGACTCACGGGACAAGCTGTTTAAACTTCTATTTCGTTTCCTGTATGGACACACCGTCAGGAAAGCCTTTTTCAACCAGCTAACACTAATGCTTTGCAAGCAAGCACGAGAACTGATGACTGCTTGCGTACTAAGCTTAACACTTTTTGGGTGGTGAAGCAGAAGGCTGTACAACAATCACCACAGAATCGTGCTACAACACTGGTAACACTAAGTACTTCTCCCATCAAGCACACCTCTACTGGAACTAGACGCACCGCGTCACTCAAGGGACTGAGGTTACACCAGAATGTGTACCCCCTTGACCAGAACCTTACGTACGCCACTTTATGACCAAGTTTCTTTTTTCAAAATAAACATTTAACACGCAAACCGCAGAATTACCAGCATGTCCTGGGATTCGTTCCTGCAGATATGACTCGTCGCCTGCAAGATACTGTCATTTGTGGGCAGTTTAGCTTTTTGACAACAGATTTGGAATACAGAACATCACAGACACCTTGAACACAAAGCTCTTCCTTATTTAACTTTGAAAACGAAAGATATGCCTTCTGGTTAGGGTGAGTGAGTGAGTGAGTTTGATTTTACGCCGCTTTTAGCAATATTCCAGCAATATCACGGCGGGGGACACCAGAAATGGGCTTCACACATTGTACCCATGTCGGGAATCGGGTTAGGGTTAGAGATCGGCAAAATCATCAATGGTTTGAGAAGCTTTCTAGACCAAAGTACGGAAACCAGTAGCTGCGTTTTGTACAGTTTTGTCAATTTCTTCTATCAAACATTTCTTGAAAGTTTCAGGGTCAATCTTGTGATGTTTGAAAAAAGGATTCCCTCAAAGTGACGATTTTAGAATTAAATCCTAAATTCAAGTTGTTCTTTATTGGTTCTAAGTTGTTTCAAAATGTCGAGCTTCGTCCCATCGTAAAAGAAATTGAATGAACGATGGGTGTAGAAGCGAAACATGACGAGGTTGTGTTTGGCCGTTGGCTGAAAGCTCCGAGCTTGCGTCGTGTGTTGGGCCAACAGGCCGCGGCCAAAACAAATGATACAAATCTGAACCTTATCCGGTTCTACCTAAAGTTCCACATGAACTACCAAACACATGTTTGTTGTTTTACGCCGCATTCAGCAATATTCCAGCTATATGACGGTGGTCTGAATAAACGAGTCTGGACCAGACAATTCAATAATTGACAACATGAGCATCGATACACGCAATTGGGATCGATGACATGTATCATCCAAGTTAGCGAGGCTGACCATCCGATCCCGTTAGTCGCCTCTTTCGACAAGCAGAGTCGTCTCTTACGGCAAGCATGGGTTGCTGAAGACCAATTCTACCCCAATTGGGATACGATGACATGCATCATCAACCAAGTCAGCGAGCCTGACCACCCGATCCCTTAGTATATGGTACAGATATAAATATAGGTGAGGTGAAATGGTGTTTAACGTCGCGTCCAAGATTATTGCACTTATATAGCGACGTGCATGCACGTGTATTTGTGTGTGGCTGCTTGTACTAGTCCGGACTTATGCCGATTTATAGTGCTAGCACACTTAGATACCATGCCGCAGATTAACATGAATACCCCACTCAGACATAGTAAACTGACTCCGAGCCGTCCAGTCCTTGTTTTAGCCCCTTATTGCCGAGCGCCAGACAGGGTAAAAACAAGTACTGTCTTTTGGTATGACGCGGCCGGGGGACGCTCTACCATTAGACCACGGAGGCGGTCTGATATAAATTACATATAGATATATATGTCATCCTACTGTAACATTTACCAACAAACAGCACATAATTTAATCCCCTCAAGAAAAGAAATTCTGGAAGAAACTGAACGATACCGACATCAATACAATATCACAATTCTCTCATTGAACCTTTCGCGTCTTAATGTAGCCATAATTAAAGACCAACATCAAGGAAACGCTCATTCCGGCAGACAAGTTATCTTTCACCTGCCCATCTTCCGCAGTCTCAGATTTCCATCTTCCAAGACGTTTAATTACTCTATCCTGTACTCAGCATTAGCTGCCGCGGAAGCACCGCCTGCTCTCGGCCAATGCAACACAAAAGACCGCTTGTTAAGTCCAAGAGTAGCCAGCATGTCTAAAACGAGCTCAACTTCAATCAACTTTAACTACAAAGTGATAGCGATCTGAAAATGATTTTTAAGATAAACAGGCTATCTCATAATAGCGTTTCACCATGTATCCAGGTTGGTTGGTTGGTTTGTTGTTTAACGCCGCAGTCAGCAATATTCCAGCTATATGACGGCGGTCTGTAAAAAATCGAGTCTGGAACAGACAATCCAGTGATTGACATCATGAGCATTGATCCACGCAATTGGGATGAAGACATGCGTTGACTGACTATAAAAGTCCTGTGGAAAAAGTCCCTGAAATTTATTACATCACAGTTTAGATTTACAAAACTTCTCCTCTACTGACGAACGGAAGAATAAGCTCTTGATGCCGGAATTTTGAAGATCTGCTAAAGGAATAGTAATTGTCCCGTTCTTGAGATTCCAGGAAAATCCTAACCAGATAAAAGTTGCAAAAATGTAAACTGATTTCAACCCAAATGGCAGCACAGTGTAAAGGAAATATTTAGTTTTATCTGCAAAACACCAAACGCTCATTTTTATCGTACTTCCATGTCAGAATGATTCACGTGATCTGATAAAATACTATAAATATACATCCCGACTGGAAGGAAATACATTTCTGAGTGGGAGAATACCTTATACCCCGCCAAGAAGACGACAGGCAGCACTTGGATTTCTGAGCGGAGGAATATATCCCTTATACCCCGCTTCGAAGCAAAAGGCCGGACGCTTTTTCCGAACCAATGAAAGTCACGTGACACAGCACACGTTCACATCAGCTCAATCGAACAGCTGTATTGTATCAATTTTGAGTTTGTGTTAATTATTTTACAAGTGAACATGTATCCGATTTTGCGTGTGAAATTGATTCGCAAAAGCATCCTACTTCCATATTGACTATTGACTTGGCTGTCCGTGAAGATCCGGGTTAGAATTGGTTATGTCAATCACTGGATTGTCTGGTCCAGACTCGTTTATTTGCAGACCGCCGTCATATAGCTGGAATATTTCTGAGTGCGGCGTTAAACAACAAAGAAACACTTCACACCACATACCAGTATACTATAAACTATATATAATATGTGTGGCAATTTTCAAGCTGTATGACGGCGGTCTGTTAATTATCGAGTCTTGACCATCCAGTGGTGGACATCATGAGCATCGATCGACGCAATTGTGGTAAAATGACTTGCATCAAGAAGTCAGCAAGCCTCACCACCCGATCCGTTCGTCGCCCCTTACAACATTGCAAACATTGGTTGCTGAAGACCTTATCTAACCCAGATCTTCACGATGGCTGGAGTTAGTGAGTCAGTTTGGTTTAACGCCGCTTTTAACATTATTCCAGTTATATCAGGGCGTGTGAGTTTAACCTATGTTGTTTTAGGATCTACACCGAAACGTCGCACTAATTGTAATAAAGAAGTTGTTCATCCATAGAACTTGACTTACTTCATCACACCAACTTCTAAATGCCACTTAAAGAAGTTACAGTAGAACTGTTGGTAAATATATTAAGCAGCCACACAGGTGCAATAACCTTGAACGCGACTCGAACCCCATTTCCCCCTTAGAAGGTGACTGTCGTAAAAGGCGACTAACGGGATCGGGTGGTCAGGCTCGCTGACTTGGTTGATGCATGTCATCGAATCCCAATTACGTGGACTGGTGCTCATGATGTCAATCACTGGATTGTTTTGTCCAGACTATTTACAGACCGCCGTCATATAGCTGGAATATTGCTGAGTGCGGCGTTAAACAACAAACAATGTCACCTGCGCTGCTGTCTGCTACAACAGGATATGAAAGAAGTTGTTATCCATATATTGTATCCACTTGTCATCCGTCATCTTCTAAGAATACCCATGAGTGAATATAGTTTTACGCCGCTTTCAGCAATAGTTCAGCAATATCACGACAGGGACACCAGAGATAATCTTCACACAATGTACCCATGTGGGGAATCGAACCCTGATCTTCAGCTTTACGAGCGAACGCTTTAACCACGAGGCTACCCCAACGCCCATGGTGAAATAGAAATTTATGCTAGAAGTAATAAGATTAGATATATCTACAAATAATATCTTGGTTGATGCATGTCATCGATCCCAATTGCGTGGATTGATGCTCATGTTGTCAATCACTGGATTCTTTGGTCCATACTCGATTATTTACAGACCGCCGTCAAAGAATATTGCTGAGTGCGGCGTTAAACAAACCAACAAACCAACCAACCAATCACTGGATTGTCTGGTCCAGACTCGATTATTGACAGACCGCCGTCATTCAGCTGGAATATTGCTGAGTGCGGCGTTAAACAACAAACAAGCAAACAATATATAAACTTACCTGGTGACCACACACTTCCCCCTTTCCAAACATCATGAGTTCGTGCAATGGAAGCCGACAGAAACCACGAGGTACAATCTCATTGGTGTAGATAACCCAATGAGCCAATCAAAATCCTCAATACTACACACCAATTCCCACAGACACGGGATGCACGTGCTATGCATATTCATTGATCTGACCTGAATGTAGAACAGTCAAAGAGAGCACCACGACTGATACTGTGACCCACAACACTGTACAGCACACAAACAATATTTGTGTATTCTTTTACTCATTTTTTTTTTTTATATAACAGGAATCTATCACCACTATCACCCTCCAGGGGCAAATTAGAATTGCGTGTGTTTATATTGTAGTGAATAATATGGAACTATAAACTAAGTATCGCTTATGCACATGCAAACTTCCATGTGCATTCTCATGTCCCCATTGAAGACAGGATGCTCAACTCTAAAAAACATGGAACAATGACGAAACTCCGGAAAAATAATTAAAGCACCAATTTCGGAACTCGGCCTTGATAACCCTAGGTCTTGCAGCAACCTATGTTCGCCCCCAAATCGACTATGATTGTCGTAAAAGGCGACTAACGGGATCGGGTGGTCAGGCTCGCTGACTTGGTTGATGCATGTCATCGAATCCCAATTGCATGGATTGATGCTCATGATGTCAATCACTGGATTGTCTTGTCCAGGCTCGATTATTAACAGACCGGCGTCGTGCAGCTGGAATATTGCTGACTGTAGCGTTAAACAAAAAACAACAAAAAACATAGGGTGATGGATTATTGTTTTCTAGTTTTTTTCTTTCTCTCAAAGAGATCGTCGGCCACGTGACAAAGCTGACCCCTGATTTGTGCCAGGATCCACAGATGTCACCCCACAGTCGCACTGATCTCCACCCCCCCCAAAAAAACCAAAAAAAACAACAATAACAACAACAAAAAACGAAAATATTTCAGGTCAGGTAATGTGAATCCACTGCAGTCTAATTATTTGTTTGTTGTTAACATTTGGACCAGACTATCCAATGATTGATATTATGAGCAACGACCTACGCAGGGTCACGATGACACGCTTCCAACAGTCACCAAATTTCACCACCAGTTCCATTTACTGGCACTGCCAAATCTACATTGTCAATAAAGAGGAACGGTCAGTGCCCCCAAACCCAAAGTGTTAGCGCTAAGACTATTCCAACACCAAAACTCTAACACTGGAGTTGGGATCGTCTAAGCGCTAACATTACTTTGTATAAGACTATTCTAACTCCTGTACTCTAACACTGAGGCGGCGGGGTAGTAAAAGCGTTCGCTCGTCACGCCGGAGACCCGGGTTCAATTCCTCACATGGCAACAATATGTGAAGCCCATTTCTGGTGTCCTACGCCGTGATTATGCTGGAATATTGCGCAAAGCGGCGTAAAACCATACTCACTCACTCCTCTAACACTGATGTACGGCGGTCGTACAGCTGGGGTCGCTTTTTGGATGGGTAGGCCACACACATGAATGAAATAGGATTTTGTTGTTGGGCCTCGCAACAGGGGTACGATAAAATTTGAACAATCGCGAGATTGTTCGTCCCGCGTATCTGCTGAAAGGGGAAGTACGCTAGAGTTAATCTCAGGGGCTGTACACCCTGGAGTTTTGTTCATGTAAAGGTTAATGCACTTACCTGCCAGGTATAAAATGCAACCATAAGAACGGGATTCTGAGTATAATGTGTTCATGTGATTAAAAATGCTGAATGGGCTATCTCTACCCGAGTTTAACAAAGAGTACATGGATGAGAGTTTCGCGCGATTCCAACTGTCAACGAGGTCATTGGGCGATCTTTGAAACCTTGGAAACAGATTCAGCCTTTAATCAAACTGATATCTTATTTGGTTACCACGAAACACATTCCTTTAAATTCCGAAAATACTTTAAAATTCCAAAAATACGGAAATCATCTCTTGACAGGTCCTGGGCACATATTCCACTGGGGACGGACAAATATGAAATGGCTCCTTGAAATTTCAACCTAAACTGTTAGTGTTCGTATAAGTGTTCGAAGACTTTGATGAATTTCTTACTATTTCCACTGTAAAATTAAGGCCCTACTATGTATCTTGTTCTTTGGCGCATACCCTCCGGGCCTTCACCAGTGTTCAGTGTTCTGAAAAGTGGGTGTGAGTAGATGTGAGGTGGGTGTGAGTAGGTGTGAGTAGGTGTGAGTAGGTGTGAGGTGGAGTGGCGCTGACATGGGCTTTGTGTGAGGTGGGGTCGGTGGTGGTTGTGAGGTTGGGCTAGGGTGGTTGTGAACTGGGGTAGGGATTGGGTAAAGTGGGGTCGGGGATGGTTGCGAGGTGAGTCGGGAGTGGGCGTGTGGTTGGGTCTTGATGGGTGTGTGGTGGGGTAGGGAGTGGGTGTGTCGTTTCGTCTTGGTGTGTGTGTGGTGGGGTCTTTGTGGGTGTGTCGTTGGTTCTTGGTGGGTGTGAGGTGGGGTCTTGGTGGGTGTGTCGTTGGGTCTTGGTGGGTGTGTGGTGGGATAGAGAGTGGGTGTGTCGCTGGGTCTTGGTGGGTGTCAGGTGGGGTCTTGGTGGGTGTGTCGTTGGGTCTTGGTGGGTGTGTGGTGGGATAGAGAGTGGGTGTGTCGCTGGGTCTTGGTGGGTGTGTCGTTGGGTCTTGGTGGGTGTGTCGTTGGGTCTTGGTGGGTGGGTGGTGGGATAGAGAGTGGGTTTGTCGCTGGGTCTTAGTGGGTGTACGGTGGGGTCGGGGTGGGGGTGTCGTTGGGTCTTGGTGGGTGTGTGGTGGGATAGAGAGTGGGTGTGTCGTTGGGTCTTGGTGAGTGTGTCGTTGGGTCTTGATGGGTGTGTCGTTGGGTCTTGGTGGGTGTGTGGTGGGATAGAGAGTGGGTGTGTCGTTGGGTCTTGGTGGGTGTGTGGTGGGATAGAGAGTGGGTGTGTCGTTGGGTCTTGGTGGGTTTGTCGTTGGGTCTTGGTGGGTGTGTGGTGGGATAGAGAGTGGGTGTGTCGTTGGGTCTTGGTGAGTGTGTCGTTGGGTCTTGGTGGGTGTGTCGTTGGGTCTTGGTGGGTGTGTGGTGGGGTCGGGGTGGGTGTGTCGCTGGGTCTTAGTTGGTGTGAGGTGGGGTCGGGGTGGGTGTGTCGCTGGGTCTTAGTGGGTGTAAGGTGGGGTCGGAGTAGGTGTAAGGTGGAGTCCGGGATAGTGTGTGAGACGGGGTTTGGGAATTGTTGTGAGCTGGTGTCGGGCGTGGTTTTGAGATGGAGTCGAGGTTGTTGTGGATTGGGGTAGGAAGTTGGGTCGGGGTGGGTGTGAGATGGGTCGGGGTGGGTGTGAGGTTCGGAATCCGAGTCGGGGTGAGGTTGGGTCGGGGTGGGTGTGAGGTGGGAATCCGAGTCGGGGTGAGGTTGGGTCGGGGTAGGTGTGTCGCTTGGTCGGGGTGGGTGTGAGGTGGGAATCCGAGTCGGGGTGAGGTTGGGTCGGGGTGGGTGTGAGGTGGGAATCCGAGTCGGGGTGAGGTTGGGTCGGGGTAGGTGTGTCGCTGGGTCGGGGTAGGTGTGAGGTGGGAATCCGAGTCGGGGTGAGGTTGGGTCGGGGTGGGTGTGAGGTGGGAATCCGGGTCGGGGTGAGGTTGGGTCGGGGTAGGTGTGAGGTGGGAATCCGAGTCGGGGTGAGGTTGGGTCGGGGTGGGTGTGAGGTGGGAATCCGTGTCGGGGTGAGGCTGGGTCGGGACGGGTGTGAGGTGGGAATCCGAGTCGGGGTGAGGTTGGGTCGGGGTGGGCGTGAGGTGGGTCGGGGTGGGCGTGAGGTGGGAATCCGGGTCGGGGTGAGGCTGGGTCGGGGTGGGTGTGAGGTGGGAATCCGGGTCGGGGTGAGGTTGGGTCGGGGTGGGTGTGAGGTGGGAATCCTGGTCGGGGTGAGGTTGGGTCGGGGTGGGTGTGAAGTGAGAATCCCAGTCGGGGTGAGGTGGGTCGGGGTGGCTGCGAGGTGGGTCATTGCAGGTAACTACGAAGTATCCACCCATCTAATGTACAGTAACAGTCTAAACAGATTGAGGAGAGCTCGGAAAGTGTAATGTAAAATGTGAACAATACGTGCTCCACATGTATTAACCGTGAAATAACATGACGCCGTACCCAAGGAGTCCCGATCTCTGACAATACCCCGAATGAATATCCCAATTTGAGGCGCACTTTTAGCAGAGTATCTTCATATAGTCTCGTATTTGTCTCGGTCTGTGTGGCATGACACTGTTGACACTGGGGGAGCCGAAACTGTACAATGTACATATTCAGGTAGATTATATAGATCAGCTATTTCATAAGGCTTTTGAGTTGAAAACTGGCAGTAGTAACAAAAACCTGAAACTGCTCCTCATAAGACGTCTTCATTACATCTTCATAAAAAAATCTCGAGACCCGTGAAGATCCGGGGTAGAATAGGTCTTCCCATGCTTGTCGACTTTGCTTGTCGTAAGAGGCGACAGACGGCATCGGGTGGTAAGTCAAACAGTGGATTGTCTGGTCCAGACTCGATTATTTACAGACCGCAGTCATAGGGCTGTAATATTGCTGAGTGCGGCGAAAACAACAAACAAACAAAAATCTCGAAGGAAACTGAGCCAGGATCCAATATTGTTTCCGTAATTAGTCAACTGTTTCAATCTCACTAAAATACAATGCAATATCACGTGCGGTTAACATATGTTTATTCACAGGCTATAGGGAATTATATAAATACACACACAAGTTAAAGTAGCATCAATATTCTAAAAAACAGGCGGGTTTGTACAAAACCTCGAATACTTAAATTAAGAATGAAACGAAAAAGAGTGTTAAAGGTAGAGTTTGAGATGGAATATGAACTGACTAGATAACTGATCCATGTTGGGGCTGGTGGTCGAGACAGCGTGGCCCCGAAGATGGATATGTTCAAATGTATATGAGCGATGACGCCACCTGAGATGTTTGGATGAGACAGTGTCTATCATGAGTGAGTATTATCGTTTTTCATCTAACAGTCGCTTCGCCTCGACAAAACACGAAGATTGCCGAAATCAGCTATGGTCATATTGGAGTGAGGGAGTTGGGTTTAACGCCGCTTTTAACACTTTTCCAGTTATATCACAGTGTGTCAGCTTTGTGTGCGAGGAAAGCCCGAAGTGATGCATGTCTCAGACGTTTACCACTTCAGTGAAACCCACGAACACGGGTATGGTGCTGACAAACCTAGAAACATAATCGGGACGAATCGGGATTCGAACCCACAATCATAGGTTTCTGGCGTGCCCAAGGGACGCAACTCTGCACAGCGAATCGCGGCGCCTTAGACGACTGGGCCACCCGTTCCCCCAGGTCATATTGGATGGTTCATTAATTTTAAAGCGTAAATAGCATTAACATTAGTTGTTATTTAGGAACAAAACATTCGGCTAGTCTGCATGTTACAACTGTACCCGGCTGGTCAAGTGAATATATAACTAAAGACTATACGCAAGCATCACATAAGAACAAAGCGATGGCCATGAACTGGGGCTAAAAGAGGAAATACCTTGTAAAGTCACATCCGATTTTGTTCATACACCTTCAGTTCATCCGTAACGTCATAAAGACCTTAAGAATATCCGATATTTTCATATAACAAGAGGTAATCTGTTATGCCAAGACAGATTAACTATACTTATATCATTTGGTTGGCTGGTTTGTTGTTTAACGCCGCACTCAGCAATATTCCAGCTATATGACAGCGGTCTGTAAATGATCGAGTCTGGACCAGGCAATCCAGTGATTAATATCATGAGCATCGATCCACGCAATTGGGATCGATGACATGCATCAACCAAGTCAGCGAGCCTGACCACCCGATCCCGTTAGTCGCCTTTTACGACAAGCATAGTAGTCTTTTGCGGTAAGCATGGGTTGCTGAAGACCTATTCTAAACCGGATCTTTACGAGTCATATACTTATATGAATTAACCGGGTGTTCTTTAACTTCTTTTGAGTCGTATATATTTGTTATAATTTCTACAGTATTCTATAAATGGGGGTTATCAGTGATCCAATGTCAGTCTAAACCTCTCAATAAGCAAGCACCTGACCATAGCCTAATGGATATATTTTTCCATGCATATTATAACGTAAGAATAAATCACGTGGGCGCCAATTGTCGCCATGAGAGAACAATGATAAAAAGGTGAAATATATAGAAAATTAATCACGATTCGTTGAACCTTTTATAAGCAACTGCTCGCATTTTGCAATTGAACTTTCAATAATCATCAAAATCTGATGAACGTCTCGCCGACGCCGAGATATGAAACATGAAATGCAACACGACAGAACGCCATAAGCGTACAGTGACTGATTGTCGTTAGTTCGGTAAATGGCACGAGATTCTTTTAGAATTGACAGTGATGCTAAGAACTGTGTTGTCAAACCACTAAATAGAAAGAGTGAATTTAATTTAAGGAAGCTGTGAACGGTATTTCAGTTTTATGTGATGTGAGGAGAAAGTGGTGAAGCAGGTTATCCACGTGCACGGGTATGGTGCTGACAAACCAGTTATCATAATATGTGCGTTCATGGGATTCAAACCCACGATCATAGCACCATGGCACACTTGAGGCACGCAACTCTGCACAGCGAATTCCTGCGCCTCAGAGGACTGTCACACCAGATACAACGTCATGTATTAGGATTTCAAGATACTTTATACACACATGTAGATGATTGTGTTTACAGCAGGAACTATTTAATCAATATTCCAATTATCTTTATCTTCATGAAAGTTGAATTCATTTTTATATCAACAAATCAGCTTCTTTATAGTCTTTCACAAAAGGGTCATGAGATTGATCACCTGGGCGAAAGGACATTTTTTTATATATCGCTCAAGCGGCGCAGTCGTCTGAGACCTTGCAATTCGTTGTGTAGAGTTGTCTCCCGTAGCAGTGACAGGAGTTTGCGGGTTTGGATCCGCCATCTTTATTATCCTTGGTTTGTCAGCACCATACCCGTGCTCACAGGTTTCTACGACGGTGTCACTTCTGGTTTTCCTCTCAGATTAATATAACAAGCCGAAATATATATTTGAAATACTGCTCACAGCGGAGTTAAACCAACTCACTAAATATTCGGAATAACAAATATTCGACTTGCCTCAATGAAAGAAATTTACTTATCTTGATCCATGCATACACTGACCTTTTTTATGATAAGCTATTATCATAAGCTTTATTGATTATTAAATGTTTTCAAGCGTATCTGACTTTCTCGCTGGGCTTTTTATGGATTTAATCCTATGTATTTATTTCCGCTACGCTGCAAATTAACGCTGCTCGTTCCATTATACTGATTTTAAATGTCGTTCAAGAGGAACAACGGTACAAAAAGTATTCTTCATTTACATTTTACTTCATTATTGAATGTCATTTATAGTAACACTAGAGAGGGGACATTGTACACAGCCATAACAATTACATCAGAAGGTCTCGTCATAATTAGTTTAAAGAAATAATTTTCAAGATGCTGCAAGAACCTCGTTCATCAGGATACTGCCAACCCGGACAGACCGAAAGCAGAGTTTGCAGATGAAGAATATTTTGAAAAGTGTTAAAAATGGACACCGTTTTTTTCCATCCGTGCATCCCCCAAACGATTGCGACACAATCAGTAGTATCAAGCTCTCACTGTAAACAAAAATATCATCGCTTGGCTAGTTTACAAAGTGTCCATGTTTTTCTTAACGGAACAGAATCAGAATTAAGGACATGCAATTTGAATCAATAATCAAGTCCCTTTACGCACATTATACTCATCACCGACGTAGTTAAGACAAGATTGAAGGCATAATAGAAATCTGTAACCTTTCCTGAAAATTTCTGAATATCCGTTGGTATATTTGTATGTTAATGACCCGTCTCTCATAGCCATTGTCCGAACAAACCCTACATTAATCAAATCACAAGAAAACGGCAGCAATATGGCAGTGAACGTTGTTTTGTTTTCGAATTCAGAGCTATTTTAGATAAACGAGCAAACTGATATAACAATGGCTTCACAATCAGCATGAGTGGCTGATGTATATACAATGACCTAAAAGTGGTCATGCGGATAATATAGTTTTGAGCTAAAAATAACATTACAAAACACGTTCGTTGAAGCTGTTACCACCACGATGGAAAACAATTAGGTCGACTGATATTGTTCAAATGAATTTTTGTTTCTAGTTTATCGATATTTGCCTGCATTTTAAGCTATCATTCAAACACGTTGGTTGTAAGTGACAAACTAGAAATTGGATGGCTTTTTGAATTGTTAATACAGTTGTGGTAATCGTTTGATAATACTGTTTTTCTGCATTTCCATTGTTACATCAAGGTCAGGATACAAAGCTTCAATATACGTAACAGAGAACAATAACACTATTTTCCAAATAAACAGTGTCACTAAACTCGTGTAAGCTAAGGCTACAGACAATGCTTCAGATTCTTTAAATACCTTATGTCAATTGACATTTTTATTTCAGAAGATTAAGAGCGAGGTTTACGAAATATATAGAGAACCATATTGCTCACAAATGTGCATTTACTTTTTTTCACAGGATAAACTAAATGTCAGTGTCTGATGGTATCCTTTTCGGGTGTCTATCTACTTGAGATCAAACAACGACCGGATCATCCGGGAATCTGAAGCACTGTCGTAATGCAAACCAACAACTCCAACAAAGTGAGTGAGTATGGTTTTACGCCGCTTTTAGCAATATTCCAGCAATGTCACGGCGGGGGACACCAGAAATGGGCTTCACACATTCTACCCATGTCGGAAATCGAACCCGTGACGAGCGAACGCTCTAACCACTTTGCTGCCCGACCGCACAACACCAAAACAGACCTGAACTTGTAATTATGTTATGTCGTCAATCAAATTCTTAGTACAATGCTAACAACAATTCTTGACCTCCAGTATATTTGAATTGCATGCCTTATTCAGTTTCCAATTGAGCGTCCATCCGTCCATAAACATATTATTAAGATCAGTCAAAAGATGCAACTGAAGTCAGTCGTCCTTAAGTTTGTCCATAATAGTTTTTTTCTGTAGGAGTAACAGAAGATACGACTCCAACTAATGCCATTACACATCTACAATGCGTCGTGGTTCCCTCGTGACGGAGATGGAATGAAATGTTCCATGTACGTTCATTCGTATACGTGAACGTTTAGACTAGATGCTAAATGTATCATGTTATAGATTATGGTTATCAGAACTGCGTCCGATTCGTTACCCTGAAAGTTCATCATTAAATACATAACAGCCTCAGCATGGAAGCTTGAGGTACCACATCGTGCACAAGTACATCAAAGAAAAAAAAGAAAAAAAGATTCGCTTACACACATCTCGTTAACGTCAATTCAACACAGATAAGAGGGACCGAGCCTCTTCAAAGAATCATCATTTCTCATCACGTCATCCATAACTGATCTGTCATATAAAAGGCTGTCCCTATGACACAGCCCTGGTGCATGCACATAGGTCCGGCTAAATATGTCCACACGGACTCTTCACAACAAATCCGTGTCACTGGTTTACACTTTCACACAATCACACATGCTGTCAACTCGGCTTCACTGATGCAATGCTCTTGCTCAGGAAAGGTCGAGAAACCACTCGTCCGCGTGGGATGTTCCCGAGAACGTCTTCACTTTCCCGAACTCTCTCTGAATGTTGTTGATGAGTACGGGTGTGTGTCCTCCGTATCGGTCTTCCCCGTACCCCGTCTGGGAGTAGAGACGGAGAACTTGGGGGTATTCGTGGTCCTCGTGGAAATCAAAGAGGACCGAAGTATGGGCTAAATGGTTGTACGATACCTGCAGATACAAAGACAAAAGTAAGTGAATGTTGTTAGTAAGGCGAAAAAAAGTAAATGTTTATCGACCATGGGCGCGTCAGTCATTTTTATTGCCACTAAAATTTTTTTTTCAATTTTCCCGCGTCATGTGAAGCAGGTTCTGTTATCCATCAACACAAACGTTGTCCGATGTGTTTCAGAGGGACAAATAAGAGATAAAACTTCCCCATGACTTCAGTTTTAAATTTAAAAACGTCCAACCTCCATCCTCACTTTTGAGAAAAATGCGTCCGAGAAACATTCTTTTATGCACCCTAAAATCACAGCTATTTTACGGTGTTGAATGAGAGATTTTGGTTTAATGTCGCTTCACCTGGTATTTCAGTTACACCACGTGCGAGGTAAACCCGAGGTGTTGTAGGTCGTAAACATGTGACACTTTAAGGAAATCACGAACACCAACCTATCAAAACAGGACGAATCTAGGAGTCGAACTCACGACCAGTGAATCCTGGCACGGCTAAGGGGAGCAACTGTTGATTCGACTCATCCTCATCAAACCTGCCCACCCTCCCCGACCCCCACCACCCTCACACAGGCTTGTGATTTTTCGCAAAAAAATTCATTGCCTTCTATTACATGAGCGTAATACGAATTTTATTCCATAACTAAAAATATAAACATACTCACCAAAATTATTTTTTGAAGATTAACTTGTGGCTTTATCCTAATTTTCCACGTGACCGGATGATAATTGACTAGGGCCAGAACAGCTGGTTTGGATGTGTTTCGGCTGACTTCCACTGTCGTCGAGAGGGAACGATGATTGCCGAAGATACTTAATACATGAAGATCGGCACTTTCCGTGGTTACTTCCGACTGGCAACTGAACACCTTCTGTTGTTTGCCTTTCAAAACAGCAACCGCTTTCGCCTTCCCGTTCTTCCGAATATTGCAACTATCTACGACCGCTGTAAAGGGATAATTGCTCATAAATAATGGAGTAAAAATAAGGAAATCGTATTGTGGGTTTTTACCGTTGGTCATTAAATATTCAATATCTCACGCTTCCGTGGAACAGGTGATATGAAAGGCTTTTCGAATCTGCCATTGTCATAAACTAGTCCAATTTGTAGTGATTGGTGTGATTATGATTGTAAATATAGCTTTATTATGCTTGTTATTCAAAATCATTTACTTCAGAACGAGCCCGGCGTTCAACAAAGAAACCTACAACTACCCATACAATTACGTCTCTTTAATACCGACGCCATTTTGTAGCAGGCGTTACTAAACATCTTGTGATATCTGCTCATTATTTGATTGGTTGTAAGTAACCAACATAGTTTGACAACCGTTCACACGTCAAATTCGAGTTTGACAACACTAACAGGATGCCCAAAGTATAAGTAAGCATAGAGATTGATTCTATTTCTCGCCAAACTTGTCAGACTGTTTAGGCGATGTTGACACACACAAACTTATGCTTGTCAACATAAATGATTTCGGAAAACTAAAATTTGTTGTGTGAAGCCATCTTAAGGGCCGCAACAAACTGCGGCCCCTTTGACGACTAAGCCTACTGTGACCCCTACTAAATACAGAATATTTATTGATTGATACTACAATAATAATAATAATAATAATAATAATAATAATGCGCATATTTCCACAACACTAAGGGACATGCACAAAGCGCTATTATTACCCTGGTCACTGAATTCATGTACACTCAAGAATCATTCTCAGCTCCCTGGGGAGTATAGAACCCGAGCCGCCTGTTAGGCACTGGAAGGTGAACAACCACAATGCCATCCTATCCATCTCCACGTATTAACGCAACCAGTAATACTTACGTAGGCAGGTGAGTGAGTCGTAGTTGTCGGCGTTACAGATGCAGTAGCCCTCCTCGCACGAGGCTCGAAACCTGAATGCAGAGTAGGCCCAACACTTCTTGACGCACCGGGTACGGCTCTTGACTATATACGGAGGGATATTGGCTGAAAATAAGCGTAAAATAATATGTATGTTATATATGGATTTATATGATGTCGTTTATCACAGGGACTACATGAATTCTTCTTTCTTGTAACATTCACCGAGTGTTAGTTTGGTTTCCTATGAAAGGCAAACATGGCACCTTAGTCCCACTATTCACGATTGTATAAAATAATACAACTATACAACTATAAAACAATACAACTATACAACATGATACAACATGCTAGTACAAACTGATACCTTGGTAACAGTGTAACATTAGATTTACGAATTGCATTAAAACTATAACGTTCAACGTTACAACACGTACCAAACCTTTTACTCCCACGCCCCAAGGTTAAAATCTATATCTGTTTTTTAGAGCAACGATGAGAATCTTACAGCGTCACAAACGATATATAACTCGGTTCATTTCAGTTTTTGTAAAAAAAATTCTGCTATAACATCCTGACACACTACACATAACCTTTATCGGGGATAAAAAGAAGTATATATGATATGTTATGAGAATTTGATACATGTTTTTTTTAAATTAATTATAACATTTTTGCCTTAGATATCTCAATAGATATCTCGAGCACACCTCATAATCCAGCATTATTTTTATGTCCGTTTAGATGTGGTCACACCCGTGAAGATCCGGGATCCGGGTTAGAATAGGTCTTCAGCAACCCATTCCTGCCTTAAAAGGCGACTAACGGGATCGGGTGGTTAGGCTCGCTGACTTGGTTGATGCATGTCATCGTATCCCATTTTAGTAGGATGTCAATCACTGGATTGTCTGGTCCAGACTCCATTATTTACAGACTGCCGTCACATAGATGGAATATTGCTAAGTTCGGCGTTTGGATACGATGACATGCATCAACCAAGTCACCAAGTCTGACCACCCGATCCCGTTAGTCGCCCCTTACGACCAGAATAGTCGCCTTTTAAGACAAACATGGGTTGCTGGAGACCTATTCTTACCTTGGTCTTCAGGGGTACGTTAAACAACAGACAACATCGTGTTTATTGTACAGTTGTGTCTTAATGGATTTTTACTCAAAGCTGTTTTTTCTGCTGTACTTACCCACGATGTAGGAAGGAGATTTCGCTGCATGACTAGAATGATCTTGTGAGGAGTTCAAGCGAGTAATCACTGTTTGGATTTTAGATGTCTCCCAAGTTAGCTTTGGTTGGGAAGGGTTCTGAAAATGAAAAAACATAATCATCAAGCATATTTCTTTTGCAGCACCGCTATTGAAATAGATTCCAATGGATGCTGGATGTGCCGTTTCTTGCTGTGTACGTGTATTGTAGTGAGTGAGTATGGTTTTACGCCGCTTTTAGCAATATTCCAGCAATATCACGGCGGGGGACACCAGAAATGGGCTTCACACATTGTACCCATGTCGGGAATCGAACCCGGGTCTTCGGCGTGACGAGCGAATGCTTTAACCACTAGGCTACCCGACCGCCCACGTGTATTGTAAACTGCCCTGGGTGCACTTGAAAGACTCATACGTGCTCATTATAATGTTCAAGGACTTAAAGAATATGTGGAAGATTTGTATGTTTTTAAATGAACGGCATTGGTAAAACTTTAAATACGTCAGGATTCGCTATGCATATCAATACGATGGTGTCTGACGCACACCATGTTTACGAAATACTTTATAATATAATTATAGCCGGTTATGGTCAAAACTAAATATCTGAATAACACGATTGTGCTGTTTCAGACGCTTGCACTATAGGCAATGGTTTCTTAAACTCCTTCTGGTGGTTGATGGATTTCTTGTTGTGCTGGGTGCACGGGTTGCTGAGCCGTCTTAGGCGCTTTGCAAAGCTGCGTCTGTCGGGCGTGCCAGGAACCTGAGATCGGGGTTCGAATCCCAGATTCTCCCAAATTATTTGTTTGTTTGTCAGTACCAAACCCGTGGTCGTGAAGTTCATAAGACCAGCATCACTTCGGGTTTTCCTACCACATCAGGCTGACTCGCTCTAATATAACTGAAATACTGAGTGTTCAACGCGGCTATTAATCCAACACTCGTGTAGTGCTGGCGGTAAAGACATGGGCGTCATTCCTTACCTGTGTAGTTACATCATCTTCTTTACGCTGGAAGCCGAAGACGAGGGACACGGACAGCAACGTTGCGCAGATAGCGAAGATCGCGAGGGCGATGATGACGTTACGGAGCCGACGTCGGGCTCGTTCGAGCGCCATGTATTCCAACATGTGGTTTTCGGACGCTGGGAGAAGCTTTCTTATGTGAGAAGGGAACGACACAGAGGAGATGGCGTAGACGCCATAATCATCGTCGTCGTCAGCAAACTGAAAAAAATACAATGTAGATAATGATATCGACAACTTGCAAATTCAGCCGAACTTGATAAAATGGCATATTCCGTTGAACAAAGAATTATTTGGTTTGTGTTAAAACTTATGCGTATGCTAAATGCAAATGAACATTTAGTGAGATAATTACAGAACACAACAGTGAGCAAAGGAATGGACACTTTATTGCCATCTTTTAGTAATCACCTGGCATCATTATCCATATTAACCACCGATAACTACGGGTAATTGTAACGAAAACGTTTATTTCCCGAAGCGTCTGTTCGTTTTTCGAAGACCCGACTCGATTCCCGACATGTGTACAATGTGTGAAGCTCATACTAGGACTAGTATGGCTTAAATAATGCTAAAAGCGTCACAAACCACCCGCACTCATTGTTTAATTTACTGTTAGGACAAACCACTTTTAAAGCAACATTAACTGCGTGATGTTAACCCGATCCCATTTCAAACACAACCAGTCAAACGTCACAGCTGTTCATTTTACTTCAGTTCATGGATGATTAGCCCCTAGTGCACAAAGCTTTCCACAACATTTTTGAAGTTTTTGAGAAGCTTCGAACCGTTTCCAATTTTCACAGATTGTTTTGCATGCGCTAATTAACATGTAACCGCTGGCTACATGTTACAATACCTTCTGTATAAAATCATCTCCCCTGGAGTTCACTCATGCGTGTTATAATTACCAACTGAAACAGAGGCCATGTTTATTTCCGTTACTCAGAAATTATTGCAAGCATTTCGTTTGTGTTCCACATCAATGGTTATGCTTACAAAGTAGCATAATTTGTACCACATGCGTTGTTAAAACGACACTTTTAGTTTTATGATTTATTAACTATAAAAGCTCTGGAGTTGATTGTGTTTCTATGCCTTTATCAATTATTGGTTGATTGCAGAAACATTCATTTTAAGTGTGCCAAACTGCTATACAAATGCTTGACGTATGGGATCTGGTGACAAAGCATGTGATTAGAGATTGATAGGGTCGTTTTCAAGCGCTGATACATCCAAATGTTTGTTGGGTAGTTTTAGGTTTCCCGTGTCTGCTTGTAATCCCTTCTATAATCGATATATCAATACATCTCGACATCTGAAGATAATGTATCGATGTTTGGATGCCCCAATAATGTCAACACGTTTGTGAAAACGTGGTAATGATTTTCTTTCACGTACGTGTTTCTTTGTAAATTTGTTCGAATAATCCGCAGCACTGTCAACATGTTCGAACATCTATAATGAACATCTATCATGCTTTTATATTACAGTAAACAACGGTTATTACGAGCTCAAAGGGACTACTAATTTTAGTTCGTTATAACCGCAATTCGTTATAAGCATATATACAGCATAACTACAGCATATAGTCGGGACTTTAAAGTTAGTTCGTTATATCCGTTAGTTCGTTATAAGCGTGTTCGTTATAACCGTAGTTTACTGTATATTTGAGGAATTTGAGAAATATGTCTTTTGTCAGCTGACTTAACTAAGACTCTGAAAAGCATCGACTATTACTGTTCAGTGTTTTTAATAATGCATTTACGATGGAAGTTGAAATACTAAATAATAAGCCTCTAATCAATAGCTTAAATATTTTAAACAAAACCCAAAGTTATTATTTTGTTTAGTATTTATTAAAACACCTATTATACATATAGGCGTGACTTAAAAACGTACAGCTCTCTAGTGGTGATGAAGTTATAATTATTAATTGATATGCAATAATGATGACGTAACTAGAAGTATATGAACGGAAGAGTGAGTGAGTATGGTTTTACGCCGCTTTTAGCAATATTCCAGCAATATCACGGCTGGGGACACCAGAAATGGGCTTCACACATGTGGGGAATCGAACCCGGGTCTTCGGCGTGACGAGCGAACGCTTTAACCACTAGGCTACCCGACCGCCTCCAACACCTGAAGAGATAACCCATGACTAATGCTGGATGTTTCATCAGATATGAAAAAGAGCATTGTCTTTGATTCAGTTAGCATTGGGTAATCGACCCGTGAAGATCCGGGGTAGAATAGGTCTTCAGCAACCCATGCTTGCCGCAAAGGCGACTATGCTTGTAAGAGGCGACTAACGGGATCGGGTGGTCAGGCTCCCTGACTTGGTTGATGCATGTCATCGTATCGCAATTGCGTGGATCGATGCTCATGATATTAATCACTGGATTGTCTCGATTATTTACAGACCGCCGTCACATAGTTTGAATATTGCTGAGTGCGGCGGCAAACAACAAACAAACATGAAATCGACATGCATCTGATTGTCTCTACGAGGTTCTCTTTACCTTTAATTCACTACGTGCTCTTGGTTTACCTTGTGTCATTATGCGCGTCGTATTCTATAAATCTACTTCGGGGGCACGGGTGGCCCAGTCGTCTAAGGCGCCGCGATTCGCTGTGCAGAGTTGCGTCCCTTGGGCACACCAGAAACCTATGATTGTGGGTTCGAATCCCGGTTCGCCCCGATTATGTTTCTAGGTTTGTCAGCACCAAACCCGTGCTCGTGGGTTTCACCGAAGTGGTAAACGTCTGAGAACTGCATCACTTCGGGCTTTCCTCCCACATTAAGCTGACACGCGGGGATGTAACTGGAATACTGTTAAAAGTGGCGTTAAACCCAACTCACTCACACACTTTAAATCTACTTCATGTAATATGATAAAGAGCCTTGTTCTTCGATGGCGCGCACGCTTACTTCGAGAAGACGTCAATCAATAGAAACAGAGAACAGGATGCATCACTGATTCCAAACCAGCTGCCATGATTTCAGAAAGCGGGGGTTGCGGTCTACAAACCAAAATCGCTACGTCTGACATTTGTACATCGTGTCAGTTACAAATAAAAACGTGACCTCGCCCTCCCACGGTGGTCCGACACGTGTCTTGGTCATTGTCGACATAAAACCTTTTCATAATGCCAAACAATCAGCATGTCTTTATTAAGACATTAATCAGTCTGCGAACGCTAAAGAGGCATTATACGAAAATGATGGGACATCAATGAGCTCACTCTTACGATATCAGCTCTTATAAGCACACACGTGGCTGTTCTCGTTAGAATCTCGAGAAGCTACGACGTCATTGTCTTTCCGTTTGGCTGATCGGAATAATTGTCGGGTTGGTTCAAGTGTTTAATTCCCAAATGAACATTGACAGGATAATACCCTTCGTTAATTTGTGAGCAACGTGAACGAGCATTATTACGTGAACGTGATGTCGTGCTCAGAAGCGTTTACTGGAACTACTCGGCAGAGCGCCAGAAGACAATGGAGGATTTGGGGTTACTTCTAGCCACACGCCATTTTAAATGTGACATGTTCGCGTACATTTTATCTGACGCTAAAACCACGCAATATGTTGCGAATAATCGATATGACTGACAAAAAGTCTAACTTGGTTTGGTTACAAACAAATTACACAAGCATAACTGTGTCATCGATCAGGCCCCCTCAGCTGAATTCATCACATTTGGCTTGCTACATATGCTTAAGTAATATCTGGAGTATTTTTACTTCATTACCATTGATGCTGTGTGTTGGAGATGTTGTTCTCATTGTGAGTGGTACTATTAAAGAGGTGTGACGTCAAGACTGGCCTTTACCATGTTTCAGCCACTGGGAAGCGTTTACCAATATATATGCTCTAACAAAAGAAAAAACTTCCTTTTTTCCGCTTAGTAAAAAAAGTTAACTCATACCACATACATGTCCAGATAAAATATCAGAAAATCTTACGTTACTGATATTTTATTCTGATTTAATTATTTCTTTGCATCTTTATCTCGATTTGATGTTAATTAATCTACACACGGGAAAACATCAGAGATGAGGTGAGGTGAAATTGGGTTTAACGTCGCGTCCAAGATTATTGCACTTATATAGCGACGCGCATGCACGTGTGTGTGTGTGTGTGTGTGTGTGTGGCTGCTTGTACTAGTCCGGACTGATGCCAATTTATAGTGCTAGCTGACTGAGATACCATGCCGCAGTTTAACATGAATACCCCAGTCAGACACACTATACTGACTCTGAGCCGACCAGGGGGCGGTCGGGTGGCCTAATGGTTAAAGCGTTCGCTCGTCACGCCGAAGACCCGGGTTCAATTCCCGACATGGGTACAATGTGTGAAGCCCATTTCTGGTGTCCCCCGCCGTGATATTGCTGGAATATTGCTAAAAGCGGCGTAAAATCAAACTCACTCACACTCACTGAGCCGACCAGTCCTTGTTTTAGTCCCTTAACACCGAATGCCGAGCGCCAGACAGGGTAACAACAAGTACCATCTTTTAACGTCTTTTGGTATGACGCGGCCGGGACTCAAAGCCCGGACCGTCCGCTCTCCGGGAGGTCGCTCTACCACTAGACCACGGAGGCGGTCTGAAAACATCAGTTGCAGCATTGACTGCACAAGTTGTTTTCACATAGATCTGCATGTGCATGGACTAGTTTGTCTCATCTTACAAATTACTCAAGATCTGATGATGCAAGCACAAAAACATTTATTCTGAAATGAACAAAGACCAAAAGTGATCATTGCAGTGTAATTCAAAGAGAGGAATTTAAGATAACGACGTTTTGTGTTTTTACACGTGTAATGTATGAGCATCAGGAATGCTTTGGTTAATCTTTTTAATAGGAGAGTTACCCCTTTGATCAGGACGGCACAACTATTGAAACAGGGTTGGCATTGGTCAGTACAAATCTCCTATCTTCGGTCTGTAAATAATCTAGTCTGAATCAGGCAATCCAGTGATTGACATCGTCAGCATCGATCTACGCAATCGGGATACGATGACATGCATCAACCAAGTTTTGGTTTGGTTTGGTATGTTGTTTAACGCCGGACACAGCAATATTCCAGCTATATGACGGTGGTCTGTGAACAATCGAGTCTGGACCAGGCAATCCAGTGATTGACATCAAGGGCATCGACCCACGCAGTTGGGGTACGATAACATGCATCAACCAAGTCAGCGAGCCTGACCACCCGATCCCGTTAGTCGCCCTTTACGGCAAGCATTGGTTGCTGAAGACCTTTTCTACCCCGGATCTTCACGGGTCTGCATCAACCCAGTGACCGAGTCTGACCACCCGATCCCGTTAGGCGGGTTGATGGGTTGCTGAAAATCAATTTAATCCCGGCTGCTTGACTCCTGGTCCTGCAGGGAATGGGTACCCGGTAGAATGAGATGGTCATGTTAACATTCTAGCGTCTCTCAAACAGCTTGGGTTGTATACTCCCCAGGGAGCTGAGATTGAAAATCGAGATTGGGAGGTACCGAGCCTAAGGTACCGAGAACAATGGGGAGTCGGACAACGTGGTACATGGGATGCAAGCGTGACATTTCGAAAGCAAGGTCCGCATATTTGCTATGTTTTTCCTCAATCTTGTCAATCGCATTAGTGTCAAAAGGGACAGAAACTTAAATGATATTAATGATTTCATTGGATTTATCAAAAAGGACAAGATCAGGTTTATTGGCCTGGACAGGTCTGACGCTGAATTCGTGCCGTTTTTTCAAAGCATTTCGAATTGATCTTTTTCCATGACGCCCTCTACCTCTTATTTATCGATCTAATACATTATGTTAAGGTAATACGAGTACCAAATCCGGGTAATTCTGTGCGCACTTGTTTGACAAAGGCAAAAATATTTCGAACTCAACAGCTGTCACAAATCCATAAGCGCACCCGTTACAAACTACGAAAAAACATTAGTCGACAAAGCGGGTAAATCGACACAAATAATAAACATAAATCCTGAGAGAAAATAAAACAAAAACAAATCAATAGATTCCTAAGAATGACAAAGAAATGAAACTATTGTCACAAAACTGACATATTGGTTATCAATACAAATAACCTACCAGATGTATGTTCTGGTCGATGTTTTTCGTCCCCATGACTTAAGAGATGAAAAAGATGTCGCTGCAGGAAAATCACGCTGTGAGTTGCTTTCACAACAGAGTCTTTAAAGCACAGAAATTGTCATCGCCATTACATAATCAACGAGTTGATGGCTTGGTGGATACACGGGATAGCGACAGAACAACGCAGAGTTGCAATCCAATATTTACGCACCTCTTGTGCGTGTAAGCAAATCAAACGCTGCTACGACTAAGGGTCGCGAGGTAGAGAATGAGAAGACAAGGTTCTTTGTTCAATCAAGTCGATCGTTTTGTCCAAAACGGTTCACAGTTCTTGCTAATTAACAGCAAATAATATCCTCCGAGATCTTTCAACTCTAAATCTTCATATTTCTATGGATAAGTTTCTTTCTGATATGCACTTTCTTGTTTCAGTCTCAAAATCGCTTGATGAGCTTTCTGAACATGGCACGTGTTTCTGGTACTAAGTACAGAAATGAAACTGTTTCATCATTCGCCATCAAAGACAAGATTGTACAATGCATCAACGCACGTTAATACAAGCAAAAGTTGAAAAAAGTTGAAAAGGAGTGATGTTGATAGAATTTTAGGAGATATATTCTGTGGTATGACAGAAGTCCATGGTAATAAAGTCCTTAAAGAGGTTTAAGAATCCTTGTGTCCAGTGGCGGGTGAACTATGCGTCAAAGATTCAAAAACAAAGGGCGATAATCCCCTCGACACGTGACCAGTCAAATGAAAATCATACACTCAGCACACGCATTTTTTTTCTCCAAATGGTAAAGAGTCTCCACTCTACGAAAGGAAAGGAATCCGTATCGACATCCCTTCGGGGTCAATCCAAACATGATGTAGACGTTTCGTGTACATATTGCTGGTCAAGACTGTTGACTCCAATGACGTGCACGTGTCCAGAACGTTGTTGCTATAGCAACAGAGTGTTCCTTATAGCATGTTCACGTGTGTAAATCCGGAAACATCAATCTGTCGTAGCCCCAGTATCCTTCATTACTATTCCATTAGAAAGATCACAAAACAAACACATTTTAAAAAGACGTATATATCCTGACATCTCTCCAAACAGATTTCCATTAAAGATCAGATATACTATCCGCGGCACAAGGCGCTGAAGCACCGCAAATGACAAGGTCACTTCTCGAAGGAATATTTATCCATGCCAAAGAGCACCTGAGTGGTAGCTGGCTTATTTCCACTGTGACTGGAAGCTTGCAACAACCTCGATAGCAAGCCTGTTTTACTCGCCCCCTTGGGGTATGGGGCTAATAGACCCAATTATCTTGCTCTCTTGTCCGTGTATCGATCTGTCATATCCAAAAAATGTACAAAATTGCAAGAACACAGCACGTGAGGCGAGAAACATGCTGGTTATGTAGACTGTGCGCTAACATGATCGACAAAAGCAGTTGACAAATTACCAATGCAGTCAGCGTATGCCGAGTGCACAAAGAACCTAGCCGGTGGGAGTCCCAGTCCTGGTCTGAGGACGGAACGGGCAATTGAAATGAGACCCAAGTGAAACCCCTGGAAAATTAGATTGGTAGGATTTAGGTGGACAATGATCGAGTGTAAATCTAAAACGATGAGGCCCGAAAATATCCCAAACTACAGTCCTGCCAAATCCTACGCGGGATCCAATTTGTCTTTTAACAAAATGAGAGAATGAATCCCAATTTGGTCTGGCGGTATATTGATTGTGGGGATGTCTCCTGGACATTAAATCTCCTATCCAGTTGCTCTGCCACGTCTAGCGGGAGCCTGACACTGCTGCATGAAAATAAAGTCTGAACAAGTGCTTGTCCAAACAGTCCACCAGAGACAGTGAATAATATTTAAACTGCTTGGCGAGGTATACTTAAATATTTTAGAAACGGAACTCCAACCGCTGCCATGTTATTTGTTATATTTATTTGACAAACTTACAGTGAAGAAATTAATCAACCACCTAACGTTACCAATAAAGACAAGCTCAGTGGGAAGCAACATTTGAATGCACGCACCAGCTCGATAGGGGTCAAGATTAGAAAATTCCAGCTTTGTTGTGATGGCCTGATCATATCTTGTCTGGACAAGGTGAAGTGAAATGGGGTTGTATCCCAATTGATCAGATCGATGCTCATGATGTTAATCACTGGATTGTCAAATAGCGACGTGCATGCATGTACTCGTCCGGACTTTAACTGGTTTTATAGTGCTAGCCCAATGAATTACTATGGAACAGCCTGTGAAGATTCCGGGATAGAATAGGTCTTCAGCAACCCATGCTTGCCGTAAAAGGTGACTATGCTTGTCGTAAAAGGCGACTAACGGGATCGGGTGGTCAGACTCGCTGACTTGGTTGATGCATGTCATTGATCCCAATTGCGTGGATCGATGCTCATGATGTAAATCACTGGATTGTCTGGTCCAGACTCGATTATTTACAGACCGCTGTCATATAGCTGGAATATTGCTGAATGCGGTGTAAAACAACAAAACAACAAACCAAACCCTATGCACAAAACCACAGTGGCGGTCAGTGTGGTGTAAGAAATTCGAAGATGGTACCAACAACGATAAACGCCGTCAGTATTAATGACACATTGTCATCCGAATAACTCACAGTAACCATTCAATCCTCATTAGATGTTTCACATGACTAGAATCGGGTGTCGGAAAGGATGCGTTGTGATGAAAGTATCTGTAAATTGATTGGATGCTGGAAACACAAGAATGAACTACAATATGTCTGAACAAAAAAAGCCAGGGTCATGTGTACAGAACGAAAAACTAAATGAGAGCAAACATGATTGGATACATCTTTATAGGTTTTTTATTCAGGGAGAAATAGATCACAACGAAGCTGTAATCTGATAACTTAAGATAAATTCAAACTTTTATGTAAAATGCGAGGCTCTGAGCCCCAAAGACACAGGTTTCAGATGTCAGTGGATCGGATTCACGTCTCAAAATACCACTTGCGGGGGATCATATATCACGCGTCAAGAATACGGATCAGTGCTTTTAAGTCGTCATATTGCCGAAGGTTTCTTTGAATTTCAAATAAGACCAAACCAGAAAAGCCAACGCCATGTGTTTTGCTCGCAAGTGAAAGGATTGTATTAACGTAGTTTTGACGTGACCATGGGCTTCTAAAGGAATGATATGTTATTTCTTGACGCAGTCAGATGGTTTGGATGGTTTGTTGTTTAACGCCGCACTCAGCAATATTCCAGCTATATGACGGCGGTCTGTAAATAATCGAGTCTGTTATCATGAGCATCGATCCACGCAATTGGGATCGATGACATGCATCAACCAAGTCAGCGAGCCTGACCACCAGATCCCGTTAGTCGCCTTTTACGGCAAGTGCCAGTGCCAGTGATGTCCAGACGTAGGTTGACAGCATGAGCACGGATTCCTGCAGTTGAGGCACGTCGACATTCAATCAGCCAGGACATACAGTGTAACAGGACTGCAGTGCGTTCTTTTGACGGGTTTGGGATGCTGGGGGCCTCATCTGTCCTTGAATCGTCATTATTGCATTAGATGCATTATATGTAAACACGTGAAGATCCGAGTAAAGAATAGGTCTTCAGCAAACCATGCTTGTCGTAAGAGGCGACTAACGGGATCGGGTGGTCAGGCTCGCTGACTTGGTTGATCATGTCAATGTTTGCCAATTGCGTAGATCGATGCTCATGATGTCAATCACTCGATTGTCTGGTCGAGATTATTTACAAACCGCCGTCATATAGCTTGAGTTATAGTGAGATAAACAGTGGCAACGGTATTACTCAGAATCAAGACCACTGCTTTGGCAAGATGTTATCCACTTGTGAAGACAATTTACACTCCATTCATACTCCTGATTGTGAACCCAGGTGGAGATTTAGTCCAATACAATGAAACATGTGAATTACAGCAAGGATGAGGTGACGTAATATTGAATAGATGGGGATTATGGGAGCGGGGTTATATAATCACGCTTTGAAGCGAAATAACCGTGAGTCGACCTTTTGGTCCCAGTGTTCGCCCACGCTGTCGGTGTACTGAGTGATTACATAGGACGGAGGAGGGTATCGCCATTTGAATTTTCAAGCGATTATCTCTGATACCACCCATGTTGACATCCTCGACAGTCGTTGCTTTCCTCGCAGCCTTTCAATCTTACAGTTCTGCATGAGTGAGTGTATGATGTTTTACGCTACAGTGACAATACAGTTATTTCGTGGCGGCCAGGAGACAATCGAGTCTCGATCAGACAAACCAATGAAAGAATCACGACACGCAGTACACCCAGTTCCACATCATGAGCACTCAAATTCTGTTTTTGTTTGTTTGTTGTTTAATGCCGCACTTAGCAGTATTCCAGCTATATGACGGCGGTCTGTAAATAATCGAGTCAGTGATTGACATCATGAGCATCGATCTACGAAATTGGGATACGATGACATGCATCAACCAAGTCAGCGAGCCTGACCACCCGATCCCGTTAGTCGCCTCTTACGACAAGCATAGTCGCCTTTAACGGCACGCATCAGTTGCTGAAGACCTATTCTACCCCGGATCTTCACGGGTCGAGTGAGCACTCCTGCCTGTTCCTTCTTTGCTATTGTAAGTAGATGGGTGAATTTTGTTTCACGTCTTAGTCACCAATATTACAGCAATATCGCATCTCTACCTCGCAAACCAGTAAAAGCATGATCACCGATCGAGTGATAGAATCTGGCCATCCGATCCCTATTTAATCGGCTCTTACAGACATAGGATACTGGGGACCCATATTTGTCTAATCTGTGCATTGTGGTAACGTCATGTATTGATAGCAACTCGTACACATTGAAAACTGTGACATTGATGGATTGGACACACTGGAATCAGATGATAACCTTAATAAAGCATATAGCATTACAAACTTCAATTCATTTAATCAAAGCAAGTCTAATCTTCAATTCTATGTAATTATCTTTATGATAGAATATGATCCTTTCCAACAGTCACAATCAACAAGATTCATCGATTGAGGTTTCCGGAACTGTTGTTCTGAATCCATTTCCCTCACAAGGCCTCATGGCGACAGCCTGGGAATTAAATCCTATCTTTGTCTTAGTCGCAGTATCCATGTTTGTCGTAACATTCGATTAAAGACGATCTTTGGTCAGCCTGTCTGAGCTGTTATCGTGTCATCTTGACCAGATGGTGGGGTCGTTATTCGTGTTTTCAGTCACCGCTTTTCCTGTCTCAGACTCGATTATTTACAGGCTGACGTGATATTTGTTTAATATTTCTGATTGTGGTGTTCAACAACATTCAGTAACTGACTCACTTCATCTGCACAGTTTATGATGAGTGAGTGAGTGAGTGAGCGAGTTGGGTTTCACGCATTGTATCGCAACCTATCTGTCAAGACGCATATCGTATCACGACCTTACAACCGAGATGCACATTGTGTCGCGACCTTACAATCAAGCTGCATGTGTATCGCAACCTATCTATCAATATCGCTCTATTGCAGTCCCACAAGTAACTCATGGGCTCTTCAAAATAAGTACTTGAAGAATCAGTTAAAACATGGTAACCCGGTCGATCAGGCAGATAAAAACCGTAACACCAAAACCTATGAAATTCTCTTTTCAGGGTTGTGACCACCATCGAGGCTAAACAATAATCCCTGACCAAGATCATGGATACATAGTATTAATACATCAACCACTATTTTACATACCCGATGAGAAGCCGCAATCAATGTCCAGTACATCGTTCTCTCTACCATACTTTAGGCTGGCTCCCGTTCCCGCTCTGGCCAGATCCCTAATTGACCATTACCCCCATACACTGACCCCTTCACCCCTGTGGTCGTCACAGGTCGACGGTTCTGGGTCTGAGTCTGTTCGGTCACGCGAGAGGGTATATGTGAAGGGAGAGGCTATTACAGAGACAGCCATGACCCGAGGCCAGTTTTCGGACCAGACGGAGGCCAACTGGAAACATCAGCCTATTTGCCCACGACAGCTTCTTTCAACACCTCTTGGTTGCAATTTGTTCAGATTTTGATATAATGAACACGATATAGAGTTCGGGGTATTGTTGTCTGGGCACCTTTGAAGATCAGATTTATGGTTGCCGATACGGCGATAGTATAAATGGATTTATTTAGACACGGGAATGTTTATAATATGGCTTCTTCCTGTATACCGTGAAAAGTGTCCAATAAATCACAATACTGAAATGAAGAGCCCCAATACTTTCGTCAAGGATGGTGAGAGATTGACAACGTACTGAAAAGACCCAACCCTTAGTTAGCCCTTCGTTAGTTCTTATGATGGAGGCGTGGTCTTAAATACCGGGGGAGGAAATGTATTTTAATGTTTTTTTCACAATGTGTACTCACGCTGGGGATACCGGAAACAGGCTCTGACTTATATGAGGATCGCATGGTCACAATGTGTGACTGATTGTGTGTCCTCAAACTCCA